AAGAGAAAAACGTATTGCGTAAAACCTCGCACGTACGGAGGCCCAGTCAATATAGCTTCCGCTCTTAATAAGTAGACTCGATAGTTTTCGAATCGTGCAGGACTCGATTAGGATTTCATGGTATCATCATTTGGGTGTGCTGTACGTGCGGGCTTGATTCTTGCTCGAGCGCGGGGCTCAAAATGCAACCGATTAATCCCGGCGTACTAAGATGGCTACGAATAAATGAAACGCGAATGTCCACAGATATCCAAGGTTAATAGACTCGACTGTGGACAGTTATTCGCGCAAAGTCTACGTTTGCGCTAACACTAATAACGTACTATAGTTACGGATGCAGCGTGCTGAATTCTCAGAAACGACGCGCCAGTCTACACGAAAATTGTCTGCGAAGATGGCTCGAGAGAGCGCCTCGTGGCGCGATCTATGGGCCCGCGACTATGCTACCAGAAGAACTTTCAGGGCGATCAAATTAAATAAATTCAAATCGTTTTTATACGAAAAAAACGTACCGCCAGCCGAAGAAAAAAAACCCATTGCGACACTGAATTTCATTCTCGCCCTACGTGGAAAGTCGACAAAAGGCTTGTGGACAGCCGGCAGAAACTGCTCATTCCACGATTCTGGGGCTATTATGTACTACACAACAGTGATTTGCGTATATAGGTACTTAACATATTGGCAGAACAGCGATTTGACTCTACAATTGGCACACGAGTGGTGTGTTCGCGGCTTCGCGCGATATACCGGCTGCAGTGCCGTCTAGATCTCTAAAAACTAATCCGCGTGCGGGGGTGCTACACTAGGATTGTCCAGCTTAGTCTGGCAGCTTAATTGGGTTGAACTTGATGAGCACTAAAACGAATAATCGGCGACGTTGTTGACTTGGCAAAAATTGAATCTGTCATACCCATGTGGGAAATTTGAGCTATAATTTACCGCTACAGGGCCACGATGCTTATTTTTCACGATGTGGTTGTCTTGTTGCATACAGACAACTNGCCTGAAACTCCTGTTTTATGGTGCATTGTGACCCTAACCATAACCCTAATTAAAAAAATTATTTGTTGTTATTAAATTGTTGTACAAAAATCATGTAAATATTTGCGTTAATTGGAAAAAAATAGTTAAATGGATAAAGATAAAAAATACAGAAAACAGGTAAATAATAAAAAATCTGATGGGATTCGATTAAAGGACCTTTGAGCCGTGACGCTTGTGCTGTACCCATTCGGCTATCCAGGCTTATTGGCTTTCTAGATTATGGATGTACCATGAATATGAGAACACTGTGACATCATTGAGGCAGTTCAGGAATCCATGTTTAACCCTCCTCTTGAGGGTCAAAAGGTTATCAGACACTTACTCTTGGCACGTCAGTGGAAAGCACATTTCATGGTCCTTTCAATAAAGTGATAAAAATGGTAGGTCAGCACTGAAACAAAAATGTTTTTCACTCTGTCCATTAGGCCATGTCTTCAGAAAATGTCTGATATCTGACCTTTCCCCCACTGCCCTTTGACCTGTGACCTCCAATTTTGCACTGGTGATGGGTTTCCTGCCCATCACACTATCAGGCATGAAAATCTTCCGCGTTTCCGCGGATTTCTGCTTTTTTCCCGATCCCAGAATTGTTTCCGCGTTTTCCGTTTTTTCCCGAGTTCACGTGCAGCACGCTACTACGGGCATATGTACAGGCGCACGGTTTATCGATCGTCTACTGCGGCTGGCAGCAAGCCACCGAAGGGTAGACTGGTATCCGGCCTCACGCTCTGCTAGACAATGTACACGCTCTGCGACAAACAGTGCGGCCGCGAACCAGTCTAGCCAGAGGTGACCTTTCAGTGTACCCTGGGTTGCACGCTGGTTCTTGCGTGTGCACGTACATCTATTATAAAAATGTTTATAAAAATGTTTATTCAGATCCTGTTTAGGTATGTGTTCTGCTATATGGAATTATCTTAATCCAGATTATCTTTAAATATAAGGTTAAAAATCTCATTACAGAATGCACCAGATTGCATGATTCTGACCCCCAAAATTAAAAAATGTCCCACACCCTCCCCCGCCTCGGGGGTTTTCAGTGTTTTTCTTTACCGGTCATTTTCATGCGTGCACTATACACCGAATATTAAGAGCATAGGTCGAGCCGTTAAGATTTGTGCCGCAATTCCGTATTTCCTCCTATACCTCAAGTTAAGGGGGAAATATTCCCCCTCCGTTTACACATCTTGACCTTTGACCCTTGGCCCCCCAAATTTGTCATCCCGAGTCTTTTTCACGATCCCCCCGACGTCCCGAATATCGTGACCGTACGTCGAGCGGTTAGGATTTCTGCCCAACTGTTGACGCACGCACGCACGCACGGACGGACGGACGTACGGACAATCATGCAATTCTACAAGCTGCATCTGTCTACGTCAGATGAGCTAATAATTGAGAGATATTATTCGGGGGCAATGCATCATTCTTTCATTCTTCGTTTTACCGATTCTACCGACTTTCCTGGGGGTTTAACGTCGATAAAATGTAACGCAGTGTCGTCATGTCACATGCGGGCTGTTCGGACATCTATGTACGGTACAACTAATTAACATATTCCCGCAGCCACTTAGCTGTGGCACTTTAAGCTGCAGCCCGCAGCCACTAGTTTATATATAATGTGGGTCGTGTTCGGAACGAGCACATTACAGGGGCAATATACAAATACATGGGTATAATAAAAAGGGAACGCTAGTAACGGATGCCCTGACCAGGTTCGAGGTTCGAGGCTCAGTCAGTCTAAGTCGCAGTCACAGTCGCAGTCACGGTCACGGTCACAGCCACGTCTCTGTTCTGTAGCGCTGTACCGGGTGCGTTCTGCTGTCCGTTTTGTATCGTATGTACGATATGTTATCATTGTGATAAAGATACGTCGTGTTCTCACTCCTTGTCTTTGTCTTTTCGTTTACTTTACCTGTTACACTTGATGGATGGAGGGACGTCTCGTTGTTCGTGTACGTAGAGTCGCGGGGCGGATTATGAAATCTTATCTGTTTATGTGTCAGATATTATGTATAGCGCAGAGATGAACTCTGCCGTAGGGCATGGACGACATCTGAGTAATTTTATTCAATCGATGCAATCTGTATTAATTATACAACACATAAGCAAAGGAAACCACAATAATGTTATGCATGCGATGGTACGAGTGTACGATCTTTAAAGCAATTCAAATCTGTCAGGAATTTAAGTGTCATGATTTACTACAAAAAATAAATTTCTTTATCATATTCGCGTTTACCCAAATGAAACACTGATCTGACTTATCTATATCTTGCACGAAGTTGTTATATATGGGTACGTGAGTAACAGGCGCATATTCATGCTCATTTTATCCTCTTCGGTATATGCATTGGAACATGACGATATGATCTTGCAGGCTCACGGAATACAGACATTAAAAACAGTATGTAACCGTGTTAAGGCATATTATTATACCTGAGCAGCAAGAACGCGTATAAGAAACCAACAACACAAACAACTTCTCCTAATTTGTAGCCATCATTTATTTTTCAGTGTATAGATCACAAAGTTTTACGGTGACAGTAGAAAATTTCTGTTCTGCAATCAATATTACCAAACATATGTCACTACTAGTAGTGATATACATAAACCTATAACAATTACATTAAACTTATTTTACTCTAATAAATAAATACGATTATATCGTAAATCGATATAAATACAGTATACAATCTCAGTATATAGATTTATATCGTAAAGTTATAACGATTTTTTAGATTCAACTGAGAATATAGTGTGTAGTACATGGTCATACAATGTCTCGAATGTACCTGCCTTGCTGATGGCCGGGAATGATTATGAAGCTGGATTTAGAAGTATAGTAAAATATATGATTGAATGTGTCACGATCTATCTATCTATCTATCCATCTATTGATCTATCTATTTATCTCTATCTATCTATCTATCTATAATCTACAGGGCCCGTACTCAGCTTATATTGGGGGGGTTCCGTTTTCAATGTTGCAATTTGCTCGGCAGGGCGTGTACAGACTTTGTACCAGGGGGGGGGGGTCTAACCGTAACCACAAAGTGCAAGCTACGCGAAGGGTGGTACGGCCCTCCCACCATTTTTTTTAAATTACACGCCCCTCAAGATGCGTTCTCTGCGCGAGCAATGGGTGCGGACTCCCTGACCCCCCCCTCCCGTGTACACTCGCTGCTCGGCGCGAGCGACCAGGCGAGGGAGCCAACGACCGAAGCGGGGGAGTGGGGAGGGTGTTCACTGTCGCTCATTCCCGCACGATGGAGATTTGCAATATACACTAATGAGCGACCGTGAAATGAAATCTTGGCATTAAAAAAAAAAAATATTTTTGCTGGGGGCGGCGGGGGGTTCGTCGAACCCCCGAACCCCCCTGGCTATAAGACGATCGAACTGTAATTCGGTCAAACAGGGCGGGGAGGGAGGCAGGGGGGCGAGGGCCTGTATCTATATCTAGTACTATAATATACAACTAACATTTTCATTTATTTTTAAGCGAATACAATGCGTACAATCCACCAACACTCGTGACGTCTTCAAAACAGTCCTATGCAACTCGCCCACGTTGCTAAAAAACCTTAATACTTTATCTGTATTCATCTCTCATATTTTTTAAATATTGCAGGGATCTTTAAAACGCAATACTTAAAATCTGTTTCGCGTTTGCTAATATGTCTTTTGCTGGATACAACTTTTTTAGATCTTCAACTGAGAATGATGTGTGTAGTACATGGTCATGACAATGTCTCGAATGCTTACCTGCCGCTATGGCCGGGAATATTATGAAGCTGGATTTTAGAAATATTGCTAAAATTATAATGATTGAATGTGTCACACATCTATCTATCTATCTATCCATCTATTGATCTATCCTAAATTTACCTATGCATCATGGCTATCTATATATATATATATATCAAGAGCTCATAATAGAGAGCTCTCTATTATGAGCTCTTGATATATATACATGTAACTTTCATTTATTTATTTATTTCCTTATTTATTTAACGAGTACAATGTACAATTCACCTCGTGGGTCTTCAGTATATAGGTGCTTGTAACTCGCCCACGTGTAAAAAGTCTGAAATACTTTTATCTGTTTCATCTCTCAAATTTTTTTAAATATTCAGGATCTTTATAAACGTTACTTAAAATATGTTTCGCTTTGGCTAATATGTCTTCAGTTGTGTCGCCATCCACACGTATGCTATTGACAATATATCCCCCACGGGTATAACGCAAGCAATCTACATACATGTCCTTGTCCACGGGGTCACACAGGTCCATGGCAGCTAGAGAATTGCAGAATTCCACATCAATCAGGTCGCCTAGCCTCCCAGACTCCAGTATAGACAATTTTATTATGCCAGTTCGTTTTCCGCTGTGTGAGAAAACATGAATATGAGTATTATCGTGAGAGCACGGCAGTATCACCAAGGTGTCACACATTATTACGCTCAAATGTGTTTAATGATTTTTTGGTATAGTGGGACCAATTAGAACGCGTAAATCTTTCCAACTGGTGGACCAATAGGGAAGCGTGTGTAGCGGGTGTTTGGGGCATATTTTCGTATAGTGAGAGGCTAATCATTCAGGACCAATGGAGGGAAGGATGAACTATGCCTTTATTAGTGTAATAATTATACAATCGATAGCAATGGGTGCACAGTAAAAACTCCGCATTTATAACTCAAGTAAGCTTAAGCAATGGCACTGGCGCAAGGCGTTCGTCCACCCGTCCATCCATTCGTCCACCCACTGTCTGTCCGTTCATAGTGTTAACCAACTATAGATATATATAGAGACATAGTCTATCTATATTATTTCTATGGTGTTAACAATAGCTGCATTCACACGAGGATTTCAGTACCGTACTTAGCGTTTACATGGTAAAAATATTCAAGGCTTTACCTTTATACGCGGCCTCCCAAGTACCGTACTGAAATACGAGGCTTGTTCGGCGCGGAAAGTGATTCCACGCTGAAACACCCGCTTAAGTACGGCACCACGATGCCCGCGTATTGTCTGTCGTGTGAACGCAATTCAAGGCCTCTTAAGCCACGAAACTGTAATGTGCTACATTGATAATAGGCAGCGGAGTGTCGTTTTTCACTTCCGGCTCATGCCATTGAAAATACTTCTCCGAATTTCCTGCGAATTTTTGTTCCATCATCTCTATTTCTGATCATGCCTCCAAAAAAATTCTCATCTGAAAAAGCAAAGCGATAGCGACAGTTGTGGTCGCACAACGAGACCCCAGCATTGATCTCGATATTTGGTGATGAACGAGTAAGATCGAGATTGCAAGGCACAAGAAAAGACAGCATCGTGTGTGGTGAAATGTCTGCTCAGCTGAAGGAAATGGGGTTTGAAAGACGTAATTGTGATTTTACTGAAAAACTGCCACAAATAACTGACTTTCATGGGCCTCTATCGGACAAATTATTTACTATTATACCTAGCCAGCTAAGCCTCGATTCTCGTGTGAACACACACACGGGTTGTGTTAGCACGGTATTTCAGCCGAATTCAGCACCAGATAAGTACGGAACCAGCGGTTCCCAGCGGTTCCAGCGGTGAATCTCGTGTGAAGGCCGCTAATAGCGGCACGAATCTAAACGATTTGATTTGGGATGTGGAAATTGTGCGGATAATTAGGAGGTCAGTACCTATTTGCCTGCGAACAATGAAGGTCAGGGGCAAGGTTAAGGTCAAATTAAGCTTATTTATAGGAAACCACATTTGTCTATTTTTTGGGACGTTTTGGTTGGAGACTTTGTTACGTTAAATTTGGAATGCTGACTCTTGACGATCTGCAGCTGGATATCCGCGCGAAGCGCGGCAAACTCACTCAAGTTCGCTGCCCCCACTCCATCACCTTAGCCAGGTCCCTTTGGGTATAGACCAAAGCCCGGATAATTGCTGAATTGAGCAGTTCTGCCCATTGCAGGAGGGGTTTCACTACGCACGTAGCTGGACATTTCCTACAAATGGTCGTAATTGTTGGTTTGCTACCTCGCGCGTTTCGTTTCCCTCTAGAAAAGCGAGTTTCCATTTTTTCCGTTTCATGCCGTGAAATTATTCTCGTACATATGGCGTCCCATAGATGGAGCAACGAGACCATGTACATAGCATTTTCAAGTCTTTTTTCTACACAAGGCTCGGCTGACTAAGCTAGACTGCTACCCGGTGGACAGTTCCACACGCTGCACTAACTATAAGTTGAGTGTAGCCAAGGATACTTGGCGGAGTGAAGGTCCGTACCAGTCTAGCTGCAATCGTGACGTGCGCTTCAACGTCCCGTATCCATGTTGGTACCCCGGATTTTCTGATATTTGCGATGACGTCATAGTTACAGCATGCATATATAGCAGAGCAGAGTGCATATAGCATAGACCTATGCATAGAGCATAGAACATATATAGTTTCGGATTCATACATATCCATCAATATTGCATCCATCCATATATCATGCCACGGTGTTGTAGTGCATACAACTGTAAGGTAATATCACAATGAATGAAGGCAGTAACTAGCAATTTTCTACATGATTTCTTCAAATATTGAGCTTTCCTGTAAATAACTTCGCTTCGTTTTCCTTCGTTTGCTTCGTGTCATTTCAGCAGTCAAATTGTCGTGTAAGTGTACTCGTAAGTATTTTACTGCAGTCTTACTTTCAATATGTCACCCATTGCATGTCACATCAAAGTTTGTAAGTCGACTCATTTCATTTTTGCCTCGACACAGAATGGTTTCTGTCTTCCCTAGGTGCAGGGATAGATTGTGTAATAGCCATTTTCAAGCTTAATTTCTCCTGGTGAACCTCAATGTCACTTGGTCAATGGTAATACTAATTTGTTGGTCTATAGAATCTGAATTCAACATATCCAAGCATTTCTTTTTCATTACGATCTCTTTAAATACCTCTGGGCTGCAGTGTTTCATTGACGTCATTGCAGTAGTACGATGCTTACCTATAACCTTTGTAATAGATTTCCTTGTATATATGTGTAGCTAAATCAAATGTATATTGTATAATTGTCGTGCTACGATCAGCAGTCTCGTACGAACAATAAGGGGAGC